GCCCCATGCTCGGTACCACCAGGAAGAGTCTCTTGACCCAGGGATGGGGGAGAGTCAGGGAAGCTGGTTGGAGTAGGTGACTCCTAAGCTGAATCCTGAAGGTCACATAGGAGTCAAGTTGAAGGGATGGGGCAGGAGATGAGATTGAAGGGAGCTTCAGGCAGAGTGAACAGGGCTTTTTCAGGACCTGAAATTGTTCGGTACTGATGGAGCACATACAGTGACTGAGGGGTGGGAGGCAGGAGAGTTGATGCCGCACCTTCATCAGTCATATCACAGAGTTTGGATTGATGCAGGTCCATCTACTAGGGGGCAATGCATCTACAATGGAGATGGCAAATACCAACTCCAGGGGCTCAGCAGTAGGGTTAGAGATAGGAGGCACCAGTTAGCTGGAACGTGGAATAGGAATCTGCTTTCCCATCCATTAGGGCTATGCACAAATACAGGGGGTACCCTACTCCCCACACATTGTATAATTTCAGGGTTTCCAGAGGGGGTTCTGGGGAATACTACCCTTTCCCAAGAGAGGATGTGGGGGAAAGGGTTTAAGAAATGCTATATGTGATATTTTCCTCTTAGACATTCATAAGTCACTTTAGCATGTTAAAGCTCTGAGAAGTCCTACAGTAAAGCAACCCATTGTCATGTGGCTCAAATTTATTTCATTTTGAAATTTTTCCCCCCTCATGGCACCTGTTAAAACCTCATGAAACACTTTGGAAAAGCTGGATAGACTTTTCCTCAGGCAGCCAGCTAGAGCCTGTTCAGGGCAGAAAGCATCTTGGATTAAGGGGCTTAGTGTCTTGCCTGTCATTCCTAGGGCACACTCCTGCCATGGGAACTATGGAGCATCTCTGAGCAGACCGAGAGCTGCTGTGGCTGGTGCTGGCAACACAGACCTCATTGTTGTGAGTCATGTGGCCACCCCTGCCCACTTTGATCTAAAATATTGGCCCAATGCCTGGTCATATGGCTGCCTCTGAGACAAAGACATCATGACCAGCTCCTCCACAAAAGCAAGTGAAGTTGGTAAGCAGAGCCCTAGACCCCAGGGCAGCAAAGTGGTCAGACCACATCAGCTCTGTGTCCCCTTGGGGAGTTGCTGGTATTACTCTCTGATTCTTGGAGAAGGGCTCAGGCATTTCTGCAGGGCAGGAAGCTCTTCCCTGGTTCACCTGCCCACTGGAGGAGCCAGTGATGTTCAGGTGGGGCTGCCTGTGGCACACAGGATGACATTTTGGGAAAAGCCAAGAAGCTTCAGAAGAGTCAGCACAGACCCAGACACCCATGTCTGCTCCCGAGGAGAGCCTTAGCCCATGAGTGTCTGAAATGCCCCCATTGATGATGCAGCCACAGCATCTGAATATGCTGCCTGGATCAGGCCAGGCCCCTGGCCCCCGCTTCAGGATTATGACCCACGTGGCATTTGGTTGAAGAGCACAGTATATCCAGACCCTCGAGGAGGAGCTACCACTTCCTCCCATAAATGTCTACCACAAGCGCACATTAAGCTTTTGTAAACCCACTGGTATATTCCACTGTACAACTTTTTGGTATAAGTTTTGTGTTGACTCCTCAGTATCTGAAGAAGTACATCCTTTTCTTTAGTCTTAAAATATCTCATTTCAAGGCTCAAGGGCTGACCTTGATGTTGAGAGAATTGCTAACAGGACCACGTGTGTTGTGAGCCAATCCCTTCCTTTTATAACATTGATTATGACCTCTGTGATTCCATCTTTCCAGGCAGAAGACATTCTCCCATTGATTCATTAGCTCATATTTATGTTTTTCATTCATTCACTTATTCATTCCACAAATGTTTATTGAGGTCCCCCTAGGTATCAGGCACTTTCTAAGTGTTGGAAATAGTGAACAGACAATCCCTACTCTCTTAACGTAGATAATAAATAAAGTTTTTAAAAAGTAAAAGATACAATGTGACTTGCAAAGTACTGTCCTAGGCGCTCAGGGAGCTTTCAGAGGGCATACGGTAAAGATGTAAGTAACCGCTATCTTGTTCTGGGATTGTTGCTTACAAGGAACAGAACTCCACCCAAACAAGCTCAAGTGAAAAAGGGAGGATACCGATAAGAATCAGATGTCGTGCAGAATAAAGGAAAGGAACCAGAGCAGTCAGCTCTAAAAGCCATCATCTCTTTTGGGTACATTCACATTCTCATTCATTCCTCCTTTCTCCCTTCCTACCTCTTTTTTTCATTCCCCCCGACTCCGTATCACCTTCCTTCTTTATTCCCTTCTCCCCCCCTCCCTTTTCTAAGAAGGGATGTGAGTGGGGGAGGAAATAGTTGGTATCTCTGCTACAAATGAACACAGGATTGAGAGTAATCAGGGCACAAGAGTGGTGTTAGCACAGCAAGGGCTGTTAGAGTTGGGACGAGGGAGGTAACTTAGAGCTCCGCGGAATCAGAGAAGGTTTTCTACAGGAGGTGCTGTTTGAGTGGGGCCTTGGTGTGAGGAAGATCTGGATGCCCCATGGACAGCGGGGGCCATTCAAAGAACAGAAAACAGCATGAGCAGAGGGAGGCACAGAGGTGGAAGGCTGCCAACTGAGAGCCCTGGGGGAACAGGCAGAAAGGGTCCTGATCTTTCTACTTATCATCATCCCTCCATCCCAGTGATGCCCTCAGGTGGGTTTCTCTCCAGAGCGGACAGGATTCTCCTGAGTCCCATGGCTGGGATCTGCAGGCTAGACTATAGGAGAAGACAGGGTATGGCTGAAGGGTACCAGGGGAGGCAGGGTTATAAAATCACAGCTGGGCAGGGTGGGGATGGGAGAAATGCTGCCCAGTGGAGATCAGAAAGCCATGCCCTGGGTCCCAAGTAATGTGGCTTGAAGATTTAAGCAGGTGACAAGAGGGGTGGCAGGTGCATCCCACCCACCTGTTAGTGACCCGAGTGTAGAGTCATCCAGTGACAGGAGCTTTGATGGAGAAGTCAGATGACAGGTATGAGCCTTCAGTCTGCCGACCATTTGCTGATTGATCACTGGCATCAAGCAATTCAATGTTTGTTTCCTCTGTATTTATTGGCACTACAAAATGACTGTCTTATTGGTCACCTCTGAGAACCTAAGGAGTGGTGCCGCCAGAGACTCCTGGGCAGGGGGGACTTCCTGGAGGAGGCAGGGTGAGTTATGTGGCATCTGTACCTAGAGGATAAAAGGCAGAGGCCTTGAAGGGGCGGGGCCAGGAGGATTCATTTTAAGCACCTACAGTGGGCCCATGCTTTCACATAAGGAGTCTTGTGCTGGCTTTACACCAAGTTGGAAAAGTAGGGATTTTTCCCACTTTTTAAGGAGGAAACTGAGGCACAGAAGTTAAGATACCTGTCTGAGGTCACACAGCTAGGTGGCAGAGCTGGGACTTAATTCTGTCTGTCTCTAAAGCTCGTGTTCCTGGCATCCTACATATGTGCTTCCCCGAGACCTGGGGGTCCTGGGGCAAGTCCTGGGGGCAGGTTCTGGGTTGGTCCAAAGCTGCCTGTACAGGGCACAGGGGTTTCCAGACCGTGATGATGGAAAACTTGCCACTCTCCCTGACACAGGCCTCTCCTCTACTTCTCAAGGATCTCAATACCTCTGGTCCTCAAACTAGCAATTTTCGTAAAAAAGACAACCTACTGCAGGTTGCGTCCCACAAGTTCAGATATGGGATGAGTCAAACATGCCCCTGAGTGTACCTGCCACATACGATATAAGCCAGAAATTATAGGGCTTTCCCATAATCAGATGTTGGCCCAGGAGAAAGCCCTGTAATATGTGGCTTATGCTGCAGTCAGCGCCAGATTCATGAGACTGTAGACTGTCCGTCCTCTGCAGGATGCATTGTCATCGTCAGTAAGTACCTATGGGACATCTAATGGGTCTGGGGTGTGATGGCTTGGGTACAAGTCCCTTATAGGAAACGTATCTGTTATGCGACATTTAGCTACTCTGAGCCTTGATTTCCTCTTATCTAAAATGGAGATAATATGTGTCCCAGTGATCTTATCGTGCTGTTGTAAGGAATACATGAAGTAACATTCAAGTGCCTTACAAACTCTAAAGCACTGTCCAAGTGTTTGTTATTGTTAGGATGACCTCGTGTGCAAGGTCATGGGCCTTTCTTCCCCGTAAGCTCCCCAAGGACAAGGAGGACATCTGTGTGAGACTAGTTTTTACTTTTCACAGCCAACCGCATTCACTTAGGGTCCAGATCTGCAGATGGCAATGGAAGCCTTCGCTGTAGCCCTGCCTGAGGACTCAGCTGAATTTTCTTGCCCTGGAATGTGGTGTAGACCAGAGGTACTCAAACTTGCATGCATCAGAATCACCTGGGGAGTTTTTTAAGCTACCGATTCAAGGGCTTCCCATCTGGAGATTCTAATGCAGTAGGTCAGAGTTGGGGTCAGAAAACTGATTTTTTAAAAGCTCACCAGGTGATTCTGAATTGCAGGCAAGGAGGGGTTACAGGGGGCCCAGTCTCAGAGGCCAGGACAGTCTCCTGGGAGGAGGCCATTTGGTGTCTCCAGCCTCCTGTTATGTGGGGATGGAGAGGTTAGGAGGTTGTTCCTTTTGAAAAGGACGACAGCAAGAGTCAATTCCTTGCTGTTGGAAAACTGGGAATGAATGTCAAGAAAAGGAAAGTGACGGGCCGGCCTGGTGGCACAAGCAGTTAAGTGCGTGCGCTCCACTGCGGCGGCCTGGGGTTCGCAGACACTGACGCACCACTTGTCAGGCCATGCTGTGGCCGCGTCCCATATAAAATGGAGGAGGATGGGCAGGGATGTTAGCTCAGGGCTGATCTTGCTCACAAAAAAAAAATAAAGGAAAAGGAAAGTGATGGCAGTCACTGAGTACAGCCTTGTAGGGATGTGAACATACTGTGGGCCTCAGCCCTTGGGGGCTGGAATCAGAGAGCTGTGATAGGCAGAGGGGCTGAGCTCCGCTGCTGGCGCCACCGCCTGCTTAACACGGCGTGTCATCTGTCTCCTTCCAGATTGTGTTCCGGAAGATCAGCGATGTGAAACGGGAGGAGGAAGAGCGCATGAAACGGAAGAATGAGGCTCCCCTGATTTTGCCCCCCGACCACCCTGTCCGGCGACTCTTCCAGAGGTTCCGACAGCAGAAGGAGGCCAGGCTGGCTGCGGAGAGAGGGGGCCGGGACCTGGACGACCTGGACGTGGAAAAGGGCAATGTCCTCACAGAGCACACCTTGGCCAACCACGGCCTCGTGAAGGCCAGCGTTGTCACCGTCCGCGAGAGCCCTGCCACGCCCGTGTCCTTCCAGGCGGCCTCCAGCTCTGGGGTGTCAGACCACGCCAAGCTGCACGCACCCGGGTCCGAGTGCCTGGGCCCCAAGGGAGGCGGGGGCGACTGCGCCAAGCGCAAAGGCTGGACTCGCTTCAAGGATGCTTGTGGGAAGGGCGAGGAGTGGAACAAGGTGTCCAAGGCCGAGTCCATGGAGACGCTCCCTGAGAGGACAAAGGCATCAGGCGAGGCCACACTGAAGAAGACAGACTCCTGTGACAGCGGTATCACCAAGAGCGACTTGCGTCTGGACAACGTCGGGGAGGCCAGGAGCCCCCAGGACCGGAGCCCCATCTTGGCAGAAGTCAAGCATTCCTTCTACCCCATCCCTGAGCAGACGCTGCAAGCCACCGTCCTGGAGGTGAAACACGAGCTGAAAGAGGACATCAAGGCCTTGAATACCAAAATGACAAATATTGAGAAACAGCTCTCTGAGATACTCAGGATATTAACTTCCAGAAGATCCTCTCAGTCTCCTCAAGAGCTGTTTGAAATATCGAGGCCTCAGTCCCCAGAATCAGAGAGAGACATTTTTGCAGCGAGCTGAGAGTTCTGTCAAATAAAAAAGAAAATCAAAGATGAAAACATACCGCCCTGCCCTAGACACCACCCCACCACACACACCTCCATGACCAACAACTTTCCAAGTAAGCTTTTCCTGACAGAAAATCAAAGTGGGACCAGTCGGTTAGGCACGTTCTCTCTGTTTTTCTCTATCTGGGAAAAGATACGAGGAGTGTGCTACTACCCTGCAAGATGGCAGCTGCAACTGAACTGTCTTTGCACAATTTTGGAAGAGGGGGCATGCTGTTTAAAGGGTATTTTCCTCCATTTTTAATTTTTTACTGCCATGATATTTGTAAAAGATGGAAACTACCAGAAAAGAACAGCAGCCATTTGGGGATTGGTGGGAGAGCACCGGAAAACCCCTCGTGTATATACCATGGTGGGCTCCTTTGCCAAGACCCCCAAAGATGGCGGTGGGCACAGGGATTTCCCAGCATTCCCTGTCCTTGTACAGCCTGTGTCTGATGTCACCATATATTTTCCTACAGTAGTTGTTTGTAACAAGCTCAGGACAAGGGGAGCTTGAGGGACAGGGAGGGTAGAGCCTTTAACTTTCTGTCTCTAGTGGTTAAGGCCAAAAAGCAGCAGAGGTGCTGTGAGTGCCTCCCGTAGACACTTAGAGCTGGGAATCCTCAGGTCCCCTTTCCCGAAAGTGGTGAGCCAAGTGTAAGAGCTAGAGAGGAGCCCTTGGGATCCAGAGATTCTCTGGGCTGTGGTCTACAGCTCACTCCTGTGGGACAGCTGATGGGGAGGGCTCCGGAGGCCCCAGATGAATCTCTAGCCTTGCTCCGTGCCACTGGCCTCCTGACACAGGCCCCTTTGCTTCTTTTCCTTCTCGACCTCCTCCCAAGTGTTCCTGTGGCATTCCTCAGGGTATGGGGCACTGGCAGGAAGGGCGATGAGCCCAGAGTTGCTTTATTAGCAAAGCAGACACACACATACAACCTCAGAAAAACGATTGTAGCAAGTGTTATGTTTATATTATGATTCTTGCTGGGATTGTCCTTCAGAAGTTTGTATTTTGTCCACTGCATGGGGTCATTATAGGACACCTGGGAGCCGTGCTTGGCTTTGTTTTAAAGCTAATCTCTATCTCCTACTAAAGTCAGTAGGACTTAAGAGAAACCATGAAAAGACATAGGGCCATGATTGTACTTGCTTTAGGAGCTGGAAAAACAGAATGGGGCAGTGAGTTTTTAAACTGTCTCTGTAAGGTGATGGAGAGAGGTGGCCATGGAGCTGTGGTCTCAGGGAAGGTCCGAGCTCAGAATGATCATGGAGCCACCTATGGGCCATTCAAGTTCAGGGACACTCCATTGCCTCATAGTCACCTGGGGTCAGGTTAGTCTTGTGCTTGGACTTCTTTTAATGGTGTCTGAAAAAAAGAAAAAGAGGTCTCTCCCAGGCATTGTGGAGCTAGCCCAGTGTATGCCCTGCAGGGAGAGGTCAGGACCCTAAAATTTGACAAGCAAGGTTGAAAGTTCAGCTCTAAAACCTCAGCTTGAAGCAAGTAAAATTAGGAGTGCGGGTGATCTGGACTATTAGTGACAGCATGGAATCATCCAGGGTGCTGACCTTCTGTATTACTGCATTGCTTTGTTGCAGAGCTTCTGGATCCCAATGTTGATTTCCCTCAGTACTGAAGGGAACCTGACAGGTCAGGACCCGCCCTACCAAAGATATTCGGCATTTCTAAAAGTCTCCTGTCCAGGCCCACCCGCCCACCTGCCCTTTTAGTCCTGCTCAGTGGCCATGGCATGACCAGGACTTGCCCTCAGTGGTCTGTGCAGTGGGGCTGTCCTCTCCTGGCTCCCAGGGTTGGCATAGACAACCCTGGGGTGCAGAGTCTGGAGGTGAAGGGCAGGGTCCCTCCCCTGAGGCTCTGCACACTTGTGCAGCTTCTCACGTGAGGCTTACAGCGGTGGCCCCTGGCTTCCGCAGGCTGAGACATTATTAGATTCAGCCTCAGATGGCAGCATACAAAGACGAGGAAGTGAAATTTCCCAAGGCCAAGTCACGACTGTGACTCTGGGTAAAGCCGTGGGGCTTTCGGCCTCTTTAACTTGAGAAGCTGCCAGTTAGTTCTTGGGGTAGAGGCTGTAGAATATCTGGAATCCCATCTGCCAGCTGCAGCTGAAATGTGCTAGTTTGACATTCCTTAAACATGCTCATTAACCTGCTTCTAAAGTTTAGGACCCACTACTTTTAAGGCAGGGCAAGGGCCCTAATAACTCCAACACTCAGCTTCAGCAGCACCTGCCCAAGTCTCCGGGGACTTGATGACAGGCTCCCATCTAGGACCCTGGAGGCCAGTATAGAGAGGCCCTTCTCTTTCCCTCCAGCTCTGCCTGAGGGGTACAGGTGTCTATAAAGAAATAACTCCCCATCTGTGTCTGAGGGGCAAAGATTTGACATGTGAGGCTTTGTAGTCCAGTCTTGTTTCGGGGAAAAATAAAACATCAGGAATGTACTCCTGGACTGACTCCTAGGGTTCAAACTGGGCTAATGACTGAAAGCCCAGATCTGCTCATCTTGAGGTCGCAGATCCCACAACACGTGCTCCTGTGGGTGACAGTGAGAGCATCACGAGTGTGGCTGTATATGCTTTTATTCTTCTCCATTTAAGGATTTTAGGGATTTTTGCTATCCTTGTTTTCTCTGGAAAAAAAAAAAAAAACCTTTTTTAAATGAGCCAAACCTTCTCTCCTTTCATTTTTATGACACACACTTGGCCGCTGGCTGCTTTGTGCTGACTACCTACTCTTGCCCAGGCGTTGCTCTGGGTTCCCGAGCAAGGACCACGAGCTTCAGATACCACTGACTGAACCTTCCACTCTAAACCGTTATCTGGGGGCTGAAGAGAGATTAGGGAAACACAAATTTATTAGGTATTGGACCCGACATTTAGACTTTGGAAAAGTTATGCTGAGAGCTCTAGATTTACCTGAGTCAACTATTCCTTTTTGAGGGAAGGGGATGTGATGTATTTATACCATCGCCCAGTAATTGCTGGTTACTTGATCTCTTACTTAAACTCCTTACTTTGAATGTCATTCATAGGGAGGCTGCATTTCCCAGAGTGTCCTGACAGGCTGCTTTGAAGTAGGACATCCTGCCCCCAATACGTGGCTGCTTGAACATGCTCTTCCCCACCAATGGAGGTGTGGGAGTGAGGCTTGAGTCTACGAAATAAGATGGTCGACAAGGTGGTGTGCTTGTTCTTGGTGGAGGGCACTGTCTCCAGCAATGAGTGCTGCCTTTCCATATACCCACAAGGGCTCTTCCAATGGGTATGACAAGATTCCCATAGGAAGAAAAGGGAGGCAGCCATCTGCTTGAGAAGCCCAGGTCTAGTGCACCATTTTGATGTCTCCACCTTCCTTCAACCATCTCCTTCCCTCACACTCATACTGCCTGGCTTTCTTTATAAGACCATTCTTTATATTCTGGACCGCAGAGTAAATCTGTGTGCAAAGAGTTTGTAGCTAGTAGTAGGCAACTAGTGGCTTCAAAAACTCTGATACGACAATAACATGGGCCCAAGTGTTTCAAAGCTGTTTCCATTTCTTGTATCAATTCCTGGGCCTGTTTTACCCTCAACCTTCTAGATCCTATGTGCTGTTTCTGGCCAAACATCAGGCCCTTTGAGAAGTGGAGTCCTCTTTGAGAAGTGGAGATAGCACAGCTCAGAGTAAAAGTGCACTCCACCTCACCATCCCATCCAGCAAGCTTCTTCTCCCGAATCCTCAGGTGGAAGGTAAAAGTATTAAGCCAACTGTCAAACTTTTTGTCCAAGCCTGTGTGGGGACTAAATGAATGCCTTAGGAATATCAGGTGTAGGAAGAGCCTCATCTCCCTTGTTGCACTGACCACCATATAGAACGTGAACCCTCTGGGAAATTTTAGGAGACCTGGTGGAGGTACACATTCACGTGTATTTGATGAGTAGATTGTACAGTGTTTTGCAATAAAGATGTTGAGCCTTAAGACCCTTGAATGAACCTCCAAATGTGATGGAGCTGCCAATACTCTTTCTCCTCTCCTTCTTCCTCACACAGTGTTGCTTAAAGAGGAGGCTCACTGAGGGCACACTCAGGGCCCCAGACAGCCTCTCTTCTGTCACTAAATCATTGTACTGCCTTCTTGCTCGCTTCAGTGAAAATTACCTTCACCAGCTCTTGTGCCCTCCAACTGGAGGCGATTTCACTGTCCTCTCAGCACCAACTCCAGCCATCAGAGAAAGCACCATTTTCTCATCCAAGGTGTTCACGTTGAGAAGTTTTAATTTCCACCCCAAAGTTCAAAGAATCAATGTGAATTTGCCTGCAGCTGAGTTTCAAATGAAACTTCATTCTCATGCGAGCATATCAGAGTTATTCTGGAACCTCTAGAACTGGACCTGAATACCCCACAGGTGCCAGACCTGGTGGGTGCCCTCTCCCTGCTCACCGTTAAACTTTTCTTAGAGCCATTGTCTCTTTATCTGTGACTTCTGAGTCAGCCAACAGGTCCATTAGTCATTCAATGAGAAGTTCACAGATCTTGTATCAGGATATGAACTGTTTTTGTGTTACGAAAGATGCAACCCCCCCAATGAATGTATTCTCTTAATATTCAGACGCTGTATTTGTGCATCAGTTGGAGACTGTCCACATCTAACATTTCGCCAACACTGCAAGGACACTTCTACTCATGAGCAGTTCGTCATCCTGGGGCCTCTCCTTATATTAACACTCTTTCCATTGAGTCACACCAAATCCTTCATTGGGTTTTTCTTTTTCCTTTGCATCTGTCACTTTTTGTCCAAATGAGCATGAATAAACAGAAGTGCAAATGAGCTGATGCTATTTTTGTGGTCGGCTGAGGATGCTGCCAGGAACTCCACTGTATGTCTGCAGCTTGGGAATGTTAAGAGGAACATGCGGGCCCCTCCATTGATGATATTCCCTTCTCGACATTTTTAAACAAGCACAAATGATATTTGTAAAAAAAAGTTTAATTTTATTTATTATGGTAATAAACTATTTTATACACGATACTTGCTTTTGCCTTTCCTTATATAATTTAAAGGCATTGAATTGGGTGTTCTGACCCGAGATGACAGAGCGAGGATGGTACTTTTCTATTCCTTTTCCAGAGCTTGGGGAAGTCTAATTTGGATAGCACCTATAATTGTGGCTTTTGGAAAACTTCTAGAGACACAAGATTGCATGTCCAAGTACTGCGCAGTGAGAGAATGGCTGAGAAGGTGCTTTGCCACATGATCTTGAAATAGAGCTGTATCTGCTATACAAATGTACAGAGATGCCTTCAAAACCTGGCATCTGGAAAATTGTGGTACAACACATTGATTTAACATGTATCTGAAGTCAACCTCCCACTTAAAAGTGAGCATTTTTATTTTGAACAATTTGGATTGAAATTTGTATAAGAATATATTAATGCTTCCTGCCTTTTAAAATATAGTGTAAAAACATAGCTGAATCTTTTTGGAATGATTCACTGTCAACAATATGAGTTCTGATCTGTGATTTAATTCATTGATGGTCTCAGAAGCTATTAAGGTAGAGGACTGTTTGCCCCTACACTAACCAGTCCTACACACCAGCACTGTTTCAGTTCTGCTATGGTTTTAATAGGTCTTGCTTCCTGCGCATGGCAAGATTCTCCACAATACTGCCAACCTGAGTTCTTACTTAATACTAATGGATCACATTTCAAAAATGGCACTTTTCTTTTGACAGACAGAACTTCATTCGTGGATGAGGAATCTGTGATCTGCAAACCATATCTGGGCCTCTGCTTGATCTCAGAGGGCCATAGTATTTTTAACGATGGTCTCCCCACACCCTGTTATTTAATTACATTGCAGAAAACCATAATAAAAATAATTGAAAGGTGACAGTTTAAAATTCCAAATGATCAATATTCATTTCAAAAGTCTCACCTAATAAAGCACTAAACATTATATTCTTTAGATATCCTCAGTGGTGAAAAACAATCTTTATGTGAATATAATTTTTATAATTAGTCAAAAGGACTAGTAATATAGACTCAAATAACAGATTCTAAAATTTGAGTGCCAAATGGGTTTCAACTATAAAAAAAAGAGGGATTTTGTTGGTTTGTTTTAGAATAAAACAATTTCCCTGAAGAAAGGCCTCAGAGAGGCTTCTCGCCATGTACTCAGACAGGCCAGTGCTGTCAAGATAATCTGGCTTCTCAATAGTTGGCCCTATTGTATGATATGGTCTGGTACATTTGCTAGAAAACAAACTCATTGTATTATGGCTAATTTCTTATACTTAGTCAACAATTATATTATTATTTCAAATAAGCAAGTAAGCAGTCTCCATTTCTCTAAGGGGAACCCCCCTCCCACTAAATTACTATTCTCTCAATATATAGATTATACAATTATATAGATGATTGATATATTTTCTTTCTAGGTCTGCAGTCTTTAATAGAACAAGAGGTTTTCTGCTGTCACTTTAAACAAATTAATCAGAAGAAATAATAAAATACTTTTAAGTCTTCTTGCATGGTCCCAAGAATTAGTCAAAATGACCGGGATTTGGCTGTCCTTCAGATGTCATGCTTGCCTCTGTGGGGACTGTCTTGGCGATCATGCTTGGCGATCTTCGGTTTGCCTGCATAGCTAGGTTGGGGTCAGAAGATCCTGGGGCTGGAAGTGACCTTGAGACCTTCGCTAGTTGTTTCTAGGCCACGTGCCTGAAGTTGCCCAGGGCTGATGACTATGGAAAGTGACATGTCAGATGTTCCCCAGCTGGAACTGTTCTGTCTGCCCAGGCACCTCAAGAGTCTTTCACTTAAAGCAACTCCAAGATTTTAGTTCATATGCATGAAGAAAGATGTATTATCATTTTCATATTACAGTTGGGGAATAGCAAGAGGTTCAAGTAAAAAAAACAATGGTCCTAGATAATCCACATGTTGGTTAATCAGGCCTCAAATATATAGCTAAATACAGTAACCATTTACTAATTCCTGAGAACCACTCTAAATCATATAACAGCTTAAAAGAAATTCAGGATTATTACTTTCAAATATATTCACTGACTCTTCCAATATAGTTTAATGAATGAATAAGCCTATTTGTTTTTATATAAATGGTGTCTCTGAAGAGTTCAGAATCCTTTGTATTATTTATATAAGTACATACATCAGAGAATTCCCTACAATCATCTTCACACTCCCTTTCTTCCTTAGCAAGCCCTTTCCTTCCACGTAAACTTCAGCCAAACTCCCTCTGGCTGCCCACAAATCCTGAATTAGTGTTAGTCCATGAAGATTCACTATGTTCATTTGAGTGCTCACTCTTCCTCAGCCTCATCTCCTTCTTAAAACTTCCCAGCACCTTAGAATCACCTGCCCATGTCTCCTCCTTTACCAAGCCAGCTGCTGAGGCGACTGCTGACCCGGTCTTCCCGCCCCCCACCCCTGGCCTCTGTCCTTTGCTGCAGCTAACACAGTATGTGCCCACCCCATGCCATCCACATCTGGTCTCCTCCCCTCTCTCTTCCAAGCAGAGTGGCTAGGAAGAACGGACATCAGCAAAATGACTGGTCCTGCACTTGAGGAGTTTATAGCTCACTGAGTTAATAACCACAGCCAGGACACAAGGACAATACCAAGTAATACTGGACAGGGTGGCACAGACAGGTCCAAGTGAACCTTTCACTTAATAACAATTGAATTCATGTGCTTGAGATGTTCTAAGTTCTCTCATAATTGGGTACACCATGGATTCAAATTTTAAAGCTTCTTCCCTTACCCCTTGCCCTCTCAAAAAAAATCCAAAGCCAAAGACAAGTATTCTAAATTATCTACCACTTGGGGCCATTAGTGGCCTGTCAGCATCTTTCCAGAGGAGTAAATAATTAAGAGTTATATGTGTTCAGATTTTAAACATTTTCCTCAAAAAATATTTAAAATAATTCTACAAAAAGTGAATAATCTATGTGATAGAAAAGGCTCCACTTTACTCGAAACAAAATATAAACCGCTGAGTGGGAAGATGACCGCTGGGTGGAGAGAGGAGAGAAAACCACAGGAAACCATCCTTCCCCTTTGTGACTTGCTTGATAGCACCCGTCTGTGGATACACTATTCCCTGGATTTTTTAATTCTGTTCCTTTATTGGGAAATGATTAATTGTCAGGTAGAGGAACTGCCATGTTTATACTTCTCTGCAAATCTAGGAAACAAGCAGCCAAACGTAGATCACCCTGATGAAGTTCAAAGAACAGATCTCCTGGGGTACTGACTCCTTGGAATGCCACAGAACATAGTCTATCTTCTTTGGGTAACTAGAAACACAGCTGTGGCTTTGTCACCTCCCTGCTGAGGAGCTGAAGTGTGTAGCTCAAACCCCAGTGCTGATTCTAGAGACTACATTGCCGGACATGGGGAAGGGGTCACTTAAATATCACCAAAATGTTTCAGAAATACTGCCCAGTAGAGGAAAGGTCTATCATTAATAAAGATTTCTGTGCCTCAGTCAAGAAACGTCCATTACATTTAATTCTTGATAAAGGAGAAAGAACCTGAAGGGCTCTGGAGACTGGGTTCTAGACCATAATGTCACCATGTGCAGCTAGGCAAGACACTCTACTGCTCTGGACCCCAGCTTACTCAACAGGAAAATGATGGGGCTGGGGGGAGGTGATCTCTAAGTCCCCATAGTTAGAAGACTCTCTGATTGTCAATTTTCTACGAGAGCTCAAGTTTCCAGTCTTGGAGTAAGGTAACTTCAACAAAAGATTAGCAGATCAAGCACTGGTCCTTTGGAGCTTATCTTGGGGTGCCAGGTCGGGGTGAAGCACCATTTGCTTTGGAGACTGGCAGCAAAGGCTGGCCTGGCAGCATTAGTCCATGGAGTAGGTCTGGGCCCAGGCAATGCCCACATGGGAATAGCAGTACAGGAATCCCAGGACAGAGAGGGTCACCCACGGCCAGCCTGCAGGGGGAGGACAGAGAAGGAAGAGTGGTTAGATATGCCTGGGGCAGGACCTCCCACTGGTGCAAAATGCCCCCTTTGGAGAAGGCAACTCAAGAAACAACACGGGCCTCAGTTTATGCGTAAGACACCCACCTCCTGGAAAGCTTGCTCTAACTGGAACATCAGCAAGTTAAACCCTACATTTCCATTGGGATCAGCATAAAGCGAGGGGTATGCTATCACAAATGCAAATTATGTTTAGAAATAGGACAAGCTTTTAAAGAATACATATTTAGAAAACTAAAGCACTTAATAATCAAAAAAGAAGAACACTCCATGAGACCCATAGTAAATCTCAAAATATAGATTGACCGTTATATTGAATTGAGTGCCATCTGTAAGCACACAGAAGGGAGAGCCTAAATTTAACATTTGCTTTCAAAACTCAAAGCTTTTAGTGGTTTCTTCTATAAGTACTTGTCTTAGAATATCTGATGTTCTTTTCTTTCTTCTTCTTTTTTTAATTAAAAGTCCTTTCTGCTGAGTATTTGTTACTTCATGATCTCTATGTCTTGTACATGTTTCACTTATTAAAACATTTATTGGAGGCTTTGGAGAGCCAGTACCTTTGTGGAAGGTACTAGATGCCAAAATAAAAAGATCTAGTCCTATGTCAAAGGTGCTCCCACTCCAGCTTGGAAAAGACAAACACACACCACTGGGATTTATGAGCCATGTGACATGCGCTAGATAATGATGTATACAGAGCACATTTAAACTGGGCCATGCGGGATGAGCAAGAGTTTGTCAGATGGAAAGGGTCAAGGAGAAGTTACCAGAGAGATCACCTAAAGTGTGCACATCACTGGCCATCCAAGGAACAGAGATCATGTGATGTGGCTACTACACAGGGAGGGGCAGGCAGGGTAGGGATAGAAGTAGGGAGGAGGCAGTGGGGAGCCAATGAAGGTTATTATAATTCTGGCAGGCTCTCTTGCTATGCCAACCATTAGCTGCTATTATTATTAATATGACATAGGTCCCATCAGTATAGCATAGTGGTAAAGTGTGCAGGCTCTGAAGTGGGATTAGACACAAGTTCAAATCCTGGCCCTGCCACTTGTCAGCTGTGTAACCTTGAGTAACTTAATGAATTCAAATATAAAACTAGGAGGGCTAGAGTAACTTACTTAATAGTGTCCTTATAAGGTGCCATGGACTGAATGGTGTTCCCTACCAAATTCATATGTTGAAGTCATAACCCCAATGTGATAGTATGTGGAGGTGGGACCTTTGGGAGGTAAATAGGATGAGATGAAGTCATGAGGGTGGGGCTCTCATCTCATGATGGGATTTGTGCCCTCGTAAGAATAGACACCAGAGACCTTGCTTCCTCTCTCTCTCTCTCTCTCTTTCTCCCTGCCATATAAGGACACAGTGAGAAGGCAGCCATCTGCAAGATAGGAAGAGGGTCCTCACCAGGAACCAAATCGCCAGCACCTTGATCTTGGACTCTCCAGCCTCCAGAACTGTGAGAAATAAATGTCTGTTGTTTAAGCCACCCAGTGTGTGGTATTTTGTTACGGCAGCCTGAGCTAAGATGTCAGGATTGTGTGAAATGATATAAAGACCTGCATGGTGCCTGGCCCATGGTGGGCACCAAAGAAAGGTGGTAATAATGGTGCGAGGGCCCAGGAGTCTTTGTCCACCAGGATCAGAGTGACAACAGGGAGGCCAAGCCCTGGTCTTCCTCCTAACTCCTGTTTTCAACTTGCTCCTTAGACTGGCTTGGCACAAGAATTCTCCCGGGCCCTGAAGGCAAGAGAAATGAGAGAAGCAGAAGACTCCCGACAGCCTGCTCTAGGACCAGCCCTGCAGTCCCATCTCCTGTCTACTAGTCAGCCAGTATATTAGTTTCCTGTGTCTGCTGGATCAAATTACCACAAACTTAGTGGCTTCAAACAATAGAAATTTATTCTCTCACCCTTCTGGAGGCCGAAAGTCTGAAATTAATGTGTTGGCAAGCCCACACTCCCTTCAAAGGCTCTAGGGGAGAATCCTTCCTTGCCTCTTCCAGTTTCTGGTGACCCCAGGCATTCCTTGGCTTATGGTGGCATAACTCCAGTCTCTGCCTCTGTCTTCACATGGCCTTCTTCCCTGCGTCCTCTCCTCTTATCAGATATCAGTCATTGGATTTCCTCTCAAGATCCTTAACTAATTACATCTGCAAAGACCCCAGTTCCAAATGAAGTCCCATTCTGAGGTTCCAGGTACCCATGAATTTTGAGGGCACTATTCAGCCCAGTATAGCCAGGTACTTTTTTTTTTTTTCTCCCTTTATTGATGTTTTAATGGTTTCTAACATTGTGAAATTTTGGGTTGTACATTTTTTTTTTAAAGATTTTATTTTAATTTTATTTTTTCCCCCCAAAGCCCCAGTAGATAGTTGTATGTCATAGCTGCACATCCTTCTAGTTGCTGTATGTGGGACTTGGCCTCAGGATGGACGGAGAAGTGGTGCCTCGATGCGCACCCGGGATCCGAACCCGGGCCACCAGCATTGCAGCGCGCGCACTTAACCACCAAGCCACAGGGCCGGCCCTGGGTTGTACATTTTTGTTTGTCCATCACCACATATATGACTCCCTTCACCCCTTGTGCCCACCCCCCACCCCCACTGCCCTGGTAACCACAGTCCAGTTTTCTCTGTCCATGTGTTGGTTATATTCCACATATGAGTGAGATCATACAGTGTTTGTCTTTCTCTTTCTGGCTTATTTCACTTAACATAATACGCTCCAGGCCCATCCATGTTGTTGCAAATGGGACGATTTTGTCTTTTTTTATTAGCCAGGTACTTTTTTAAGCTTCAAGATGTACTCATCCTGCCTGGAGGCCCTGAGATCTCTCACCTCTGTGGCTCAGACACAGATGCCTGGGGTCCTGTCAACACCTGCTCCTCAGTGGGTTCAGGGAGCAGGAAGAGGGGAGGGGGCCTCAGGCACAGGAAGCAGTCCCAGACTTCAGCTGTGTTTAGGGTGAGGCATCAGCAGGTGTTTGGTCAACACAGAACCCAGAGGCTGGCTGTGAAGGTGGCAGATTGGGGATGTTTCATTTACACAAAGCTGGGCCTGGGGCACTGCACAGCTGTGCTGGGCCCTGTGGCTGTCAAGGGACATCTCTGTGAAAGCTTCTGCCCAGCACATAGAACTGTAAAGGGGAACGTCCCAACATTGCCCAGAGGTGAGGCATATACGTCAGTTTGGACCACACCTGGGCCCCGAAAACTCTCCCTAATGTTACCATATGCCATGCAGAGAGGCAGCTAGATAGCAGTTAGGAGACTTGTAATTCTGACTCTATTATGAGACCTGAGTAGGGTTTCAGTTTCTCTATCTACACAATAGGAGGTCAAAAATAAATAAAAGCATTTGAAATAAAAGAAGATCATAGATTTGGTAGTGCTTTTAAAAAGTGTTTCAGAAATGCAAAGGATTACTATAGTACCACCTGAGATTTCTTGCTGGACTTTTTAATGCACAAGTGTTCCTACAGACAGTAACCCCAATGTGTACCGGATGGCTGCCAAGGACCCCTTATCCTTTCCTCAGGAGTAACATATGTGATGACAAGGAAAAGACAGCTTCCACAAGTCACCCTTCCACAGTATTCAACAAACACTTCATGAGCATTTGCTGTGTGCCTGGCCCTGTAATAGACATCGACATCATGCTAGACATTGACATCACCCTCTGTACGTTGCCTGTGGGCACAAGGTCTTAGACTGTGGCAACTGCCAACCAAGCACTGATGTGGCAAATGTCTGTGTGTGGGGAGGGGTACTTGGGGCAGAGCCTCCTCTTCATCAGGGCTCAGATGAGCACAGGATCATAAAACTGAAAAGAAACTGGGATGGCCTGTCATTCTGGCAACATTCTGAGGGCTATGATGCACAGTATCCAGGCTTGTCAGCCATTAACAAAAAAGATGGCGTCAAAATGGGTTCTGTCCTGCCAACTGAACACTGACCTCATCCTGCAGTCCTCTCTCCCCCTGGTCTTTCCCTACTCTGTCTTCTCCTTCGTACTCTCCCTTCTCACCAGGCTTTCCAATCCTCAGAGTCCAGTCAACTCCCATGTCCCCAAATCCCCAAGCCCACGCATGCATGCATGCGCACACACACACACGCACACACACTCCATTAATGTGGCTCATAAAGCCTGGTGGGCAGTATGTTATTGGTCAAAGGAAAAGATCCTTCTTAATGGCCCTTGTACACTCTACACATTCACAGCTAGGCCCCCAGAGTCAATAATGCGTGTAGCTTCCTAGTGGGCTTTTGATATCTGGACCTAACAAGATCTAAATAGGCGAACAGTTTAACAGATGACAGCCAGGCAGCACTGAAGATATTATGAACAGGAAGTTAGTAAGTTAGACAGCAGTTGCAAAAGATTGGGTAATATAGTTAGTAGGACAGATTATTTGACAGATATAGCTAAATGCATAGAAGTAGGATGTATAGCACAATAGATTCAATTAAGAGGACCAGTGTAGGCGGTATACTAGATGCAGTTAATAGGATGTAGGTGGTTGTACCATGATGTTGTTAACAGGATATTGGTGAGTTGTATAATAACTACAGCTAATGAGAAACAAGTAAGACACAGAGGGAAATGACTATAGCTAATAGAAAGCGAGCACGGTAATTTTACTTGAGATTATTATGGCTGAGCAATTCTCTGAGCAATTACATCAGTCTGAAAGGACTGGAAAGGCAGAAGCTCAGAATAGTGAAGGAAAAGACCATCATCACGCAGGGCCATGAGAAGTCAAAGGATATGTCCAATTGGTTTTCTGGAAAGTGAAGGGAGAATCAGAACAAGCAGCAGGTGTAATGAAAAACTTTATTTAAAGGTAACATTGTAAAATGGTGCAGCCACTGTGGAAAACCCTATGGAGGTTCCTCAAAAAATTAAACATAGAATTGCCACACATATACCCAAAAGAATTGAAAG